ATTAATTACAGGGTTCCCCCTCTAAGTTTCTGGTTCTGTGTCTTGACTGTACCAGTGTTACTATCTTGGTTGTGGTATTATACTATAGTTTGGCAAGCTATTTTTATCTTGATCTGTTTGAGCTGCTATAACAGCACACCATAGACTAGGTGGTTTATAAATAACAGAAATTCATTTCTCACAGTTCTGAAGGCTGGGAAGTCCAAGATCAAGGTGCTGGCAGATTTGGTGTCTCATGAAGGCTCACTTCCTGGTTTGTAGGCTGTTGTCTTCTCATTGTGTCCTCACATGGTGGAAGCCGTGAGAGAGCCCACCATGATCTCTTTTATAAGGGCACTGATCCCATTCACGAGGGCTCCACCCTCATGACCAATCACCTACCGAAGTCCCCACCTCCAAATACCATCACATGAGGTACTAGGATTCAACACATGACTTTTTTTTTTTTTGACTGGTAAGGGGATCGCAACCCTCAGCACAGTGTCATCTGCACCACACTCAGCCAGAGAGTGCACCAGCCATCCCTATATAGGATCTGAACCCATGGCCTCGACGCTAGCAGCACTGCACTCTCCCGAGTGAGCCACGGGGCTGGCCCCTCAACACATGAATTTTGAAGGGACATAAACATTCAGTCTGTAATAGTTTGCCTTGGGAGAAACTGGGTAAGGGGTACATGAGCTCTCTTTTTATTATTTCTTACAATTTCAGGTGAATTTACAATTACCCCAAAATAAAAAGTTTAATTTAAAAAGTCTTTTTAAAGTTTTGTTCTATTTCTTTTATTGTTTCTGTTTTCTTGGAGTTTTTTTTTTCCAGTTTTTTGTTTTGCTTTGTTTTAGTGTCTGTCTTCCATATTGGACATTTTTTTCAGCTTTCTGATGATCTTTAGCTAAACATTAGCACTTAAAATCAAATCACTAAAGTGTGCACTGGAAGCACTGTGTGCATGAGCAGAGGCTGAGAACGTGTAGGCCCCCTAGGATGATCAGGTCAGTTGTTTTGTCAGAAGATCTCTGAGTGTCAATTAGGGAAGATGGCCTGGGATTGTTTATCTGGGGCTGTTTTTTTTTTTTCTTTTTATCTTTTTTACTGACCGGCAAAGGGATTGCAACCCTCGGTGTTGCGCCCGTACCGCGCTCAGCCAGTGAGCGGGAACCGGTCTCCACATGGGATCCGAACCCTCAGCAGGCGCGCCGCCGCGCTCCCAAGCAGCGCACTCTCCAGTGCGCCACCGGGCCACCCCTATCTGGGGCTGTTTTTTTTTTTCTTTTTATCTTTTTTACTGACCGGCAAAGGGATTGCACCCCTCGGTGTTGCGCCCGTACCGCGCTCAGCCAGTGAGCGGGAACCGGTCTCCACATGGGATCCGAACCCTCAGCAGGAGCGCCGCCGCGCTCCCAAGCAGCACACTCTCCAGTGCGCCACCGGGCCAGCCCTATCTGGGGCTGTTTAATATTGATAAATAAAATCCTTCTGATTCTTCTATAAGGACTTAGATATTGGAGTTCTGCATTAGGGTCAGGGAGAGGACTAGGAGAGTGATTTCTCCTTCTACCTGGATAAGCACTCTCAAGTTCACCTTAGTTTTCACTAGGTGCACTTAACTTATTCATATTACTTATCAGCTTCTCTAGGCATTTGTTTTATGACCCCTACCCATGACAGCGTTCTCTTATTGTCAAGATGTCTTACTCAGCCAGTCATGTCTCTTCCTGCTGCTAGGGGCGTATACTTATTTGGCAGACACTGCTGATTGCCTTTTCCAATTCTCTTTTTCCTGGCTGAAAAGGCCAGACATTCACCTTTCCATTCCCCTTTGCAGATTTAGGTGACCGTATGACCCAGTTCTGGCCAACTGCATCTTATGAGAATTCAGCTAGGGTGGTTCTAGGAAAAGTGTTCTCCTCCAGCAAAAAGAAAAAAAAAAAGCACATGAATGCCTCTCTTCTTTCTTCTTGCTGAATTATTTGAATATGAAGATATGATGCCTGGAGCTTTGCAGCTGTATTGCCACCGCAGAGCAGCCAACCAAGAAAGCCGAAATGTTGGAGCTACTGAATTAACCAACTTTAGAATTGCTTGTCTTCTCGTCTCCAATTTAATTGAGATACTGTCATTTGGTTATTCTGCTACTTGCAGCCAAAAAAATCTTTATGAATTCATATTTCAAAAAAGATCATCATTGTTTTCTAAAGAATTCACACCCCTAGTGCAGCAGTGACACATGGTAAGCATCACATTTTAAGAGGGATGTTGTCATATAAGAGTAAATACAGAAGAGATGACCAAGATGCTAGAATCAGGAAACTTACCATAATGGGAACAATAGAAGGAATGCAGATCTGTAGAAAAGACAAATTGGAGGATGTGAAAAGTATCAACAGATATCTAAGGAACTTTAAAGCAAAGGGGGGAAAAGCTGTTCTGAGGAACCACACAGCTCAAATAAGACACTAAGTCTATTTTCCCCTCCTTTATTTCCAAAAGTCGACTGTAAATACAAAGAAATGTGCAAAATAGAAACAGGGAGATGGAAGTAGAGAAAGGATAAACTTAGAGCTGCATGGTAAGAAGAGCTATGACTTGTACTTCTTGGATGAGATGGTTGCTGGAAGGGAAGGGGGAACAAAACACCTCTGCATTATCCTCTTGACTTTGGATCAATATTATACATTGCCTGAGACTTTTACAAAATGATGCATACCCTATGGAAATGGAAGGAATAAATATACAGAGATAGGGACAGAAACTAAAAATAGAATCTAAAACTGACAGAGGGAATGAACAGGAAGCAGGAAAAAGCAGAAATGCCTCTCTGTGTCAGGTATTGTTCAAGGTGCTGGGAAGTTTTGAAGATGAAAAGCACATGGCTCTGCCTTCAAGGAGCTTTCATTCCAGTGTGGGAAATCAAAGAGAAGGGCAGACACACACATGAGGTGGTAGTCTTAGAACTGAACTCACTCCCCCAAATTTGGAGCACCAACAGGCAGGGACCTGCCCTCCCTGGCATTGGTTCCCCAAACATATTATGCCATCTTCCTCTCAGCCATATGGTCCAAACGATGAAAAGATTGTGTTGGGTAATGTCTTAGTCCATTGTTGCTGCTATAACAAAATACCTGAGACCAAGTAATTTTAAAAGAATAGAAATTTATTTTCTCACAGTTCTGGAGACTGGGAAGTCCAGAGCAAGGCGTCGGCAGCTTTGGTTGTTTGGTAAGGGCTGCTCTCTGTTTCCAAGATGGCGCCTTGTTGCTGCGTCCTCACATGGTGGAAGGCCACAGGGCAAGCGAGCCTAACTGCATGAAGCCTCTTTTATATGATCCCTTTATCTCCTTCACAAGAGAGGAGCCCTCATGGCCTGATCACCTCTTAAAGCCTCCACCTCTTAATACAATCACATTGGCCATTAAGTTTCAATACCTGAATTGTAGAGGGGATACACTCAAACCATAGCAGACAAGTAGCATAGTTTGAAGATTATCCAAAGAGTATTTGGTAGAGAAGGAACGAAAACAAAGGGCATCGATCATTATACAACATATACATGTATTGAAACATCACACTGGGGGCCGGCCCGGTGGCGCACTGCTACAGTGCGCCACTTGGGAAGCGCGGCGGCGCTCCCGCCGAGGGTTCGGATCCCACATACAGACCAGCCGCTCACTGGCTGAGCGAGGTGCGGGCGCAACACCGAGGGTTGCGATCCCGTAGCCGGTCCTGGTCCAGTACGGGCGCGACACTGAGGGTTGCGATCCGTTGCCGGTCACGAAAAAAGACAAAAAGGAAAAAAAAAAAAAGAAAAAAAAAGAAACATCACACTGTACCTCATAAACATGTATGATTGTTATGAGCCAATTATAAACAAACAAACAACAACAACAAAAACCCTGCAAAAACATAAACGGGCAAACACCATTATGGAAAATATTTAGACAATGTTAAAAGTGCGACCACTTCCTAAATATCACAGTGTGGAATGAGGCGGGGAGGCAGGGAGCAGACAAGAGTGTGATGGACCCAGAGTTCAGGTGAAATAGTTGACCGTTCATCACAGATACTTGCCTATCTGTGAGGAACTCTCTAGGTTTCCTTTGCTATTATGGGAAACTCTGAATTTCAAATCCCATCCATATCTCCTGGCTCTAAACTTAGAGAAACCAGGTTTCAGATCAAGTTCTTCCACTCACTTGCTGTGTACCTTTCAGCAAGTCACTTCTCTCTGAGTTTTCTCATTTGCAAAACTGTTTAATGATAATATATCCTGAGTTTTATGAGAAGTAATGAAATAAAAGTATCGAAGTGCCTAACACAGTACCTGACACAGGAGTAGATCCTCAAAAAATAATAGTGTAATCTGATTTGTTGCACTTCATGAGGATTTTCTCCATTTTTAACATGGGAAAACAAAATTTCAGAGAGAAGATTTGTCATTTATTTTTTTTAATTAATTAATTTATTTATTTATTTTTTTTTTAATTTTTATTTTGTCAATATACAATGTATATGATTATTATGGCCCATCACCGACACCTCCCGCCCTCCTCCCTCTCTCCCCTCCCCCCCAAGAATGTCCTTTCCGTTTGCTTGTTGTAACTACTGAAGATTTGTCATTTAAAGTCAACCTATTTCTGGCTGTTTCCAGAAACCCAGCTACAGCCATTTGGCTGTTTCCAAAGACCCAGCTACAACTGCCTGGCTATTTCCAGAGACCTAGCAATAGTTTTCCACTGGATTTCATGAGCAGCATTGCAGTTGCCCAGCTGGTTCCGGATGTCTGCTGTGAATCCACAACTGCCCCAGAGATTGTTTTCATTATCTGCCCAGCTGACCCTACAAACCTTCTTAGAATTCAGTTGTTGACCTTGAGACTGGGCTGTACTTATGCAGCCAAGAACTGAGCCCAGTTTTCTGGATGATGCTTTACTTTATTTGTCAATAAATATTTTTAAAGATCTAAAAATACATAAATAAAGTCAACTTATTTAAGTTCACTCTCAGTTGCAAATCACTCGGTGCTTGCCTAATCTCTTCATGGCCGCCTGCATCTCCTGGTTCCTCAAGGTGTAGATCATGGGGTTAAGCATGGGGGTCATGACAGTGTAGCTGATGGACACAGCCTTGTCCATGGGGAATGGGGTAAAGGGCCGGGCATAGATATAAATACAGCATAGAGGTAAATGCTTGGAATGAAGATCATAGACACCACGATGATGTGGGTGGTGCAGGTGGAAGCTGCCTTCCTCCTCGCCTGCCCTGAGTGGGACCTCAGCATCACCAGGATGGCGGTGTAGGAGATGAGAAGGAGGAGGAACCAGATGAGAACCAGCATCCCACTGTTGGAGATCATGAGGAACTCCAGAACGGAGGTGTCAGTGCAGGCAAGTCTCAGCACTTGTGGGACGTCACAGTAGAAGTTATCCAGGACATTGGGGCCACAGAAAGGCAGTGGGAGCATCAGAGCCACCTGGACAATGGAGTGGACGAAGCCCCCTGCCCAGGCAGCCACCACCAGCCCCACACACAGTCGAGTGTTCATGATGGTGACGTAGTGGAGGGGCCGGGAGATGGCTATGTAGCGGTCATAGGCCATCACTGAGAGAAAGAAGACAGTCCCACCTCCCAAGAGGTGGAAGAAAAAGATCTGGGCCATACAGCCTTGGTAGGAAATAGTCTTGGTCTCATGAAAGAAATCCACCAGCATCTTTGGGGAGGTGACTGTGGAATAGCAGAGGTCTATGACAGCCAGGTTTCGGAGCAGAAAGTACATGGGCATGTGGAGCTGGGAGTCAAAAGTCACTGTGACCATGATAAGAAGGTTTCCCACAATGGTGGTGACATAGACAAATAGGAACACCAGGAACAGGAATTTCTGGAGTTCCTGGGTTTGCGAGAACCCTAAGAGGACAAACTCTGACACCTGTGAGATGTTCTGGAGTTCCATGGGACCTTCTCCACATGTCTAGAGAGAAACCATAGAAAACAAAAAAAATCAAGAAAAGTCAATCGCTTTCATTTGGGGGCTCAAGATTGAGTTGATCAAAGTCATTGTTGATTATTATTCTAAGACGTAGCTTAGGAGAGACTTTCACAGGAATAAATACATTTTCAAGGCTCCCACACTTACCTCCCTAACCATGCCCTACACTATATTTGGGAAGCCTTCCAAAGATTGTTTAGGAATATGCATCTAGTAGAAAATTCACATAAAATTTTAAAAATAAAATATGATAGATAGTTCAAGGAAATTTTGCATTTGTCCTGAGCTTCTTTGAGTTGTCCCCACAGATGGCCCATGGCAACAAATGCCATCAGAGACCTATTTACATGGAAAAGTTTGAGAAGCTCTAGTCATTCCAGCTGCACTGTAACCAAGATCATCTGCTTATTTTTCCTTACATTTCCTCGGAGTTTGTACGTGACAATTTCTCCTAACACACACATCCCTGCCTTCAGCACTGAGCTATATACAGCCTCTCAAGCTTCTGCCATGAAGCATCTACTTGTTCATCTAAAATCATTAGCCTCCACTTTACATCCTGCCAAGATTTATGCACATAGTTTGATGATATTTGTGGTCACTGGTACTTGCTCCCATGTTTATTCATTCATTGATTTAACTAGATTCGTGGAACCTATGGTTCACAAGGCACTATGTTGGGCACTGCAGATATGAAAAGGAACCAGACATGAAACCTGTAGACAAGAAAAGCATTGTCCAAAGGGAAAAAGACTTATCTATAAATTCCTGTATAGAAAATAGAAGAGGGCTGGCCAGTAGCTCAGTCAGTCAGAGTGTGGTCAGTTTGGTGCTGATATAACACCAAAGTCTCTGTACTGGTCAGCGGCAAGGAAAAAAAAAAGAAAAAGAAAAAGAAAAAAGGTGAGAGAGAGAAAATAGAGGAGATGGGGAGAAACATGTTTCTTTAGCTCAATGAGTAAAAGTTCTAGAAGACATTCCCGTGAAAAATAAACAGTTTTCTGGTGTTAAAAACCGTTCCCTTGGATTGCTTTTTGCAGAACTGTTTTCTCTAATTGTGCGGGAAAATTTGTCCTGGACCCCACCCTGTAAAGACAATAGACAATAAGCAGCTCTCTCTTTCCTGATTCCCACCTGAGGGGGCCCCTCTCACATGAGAGGGGCAGCAGCAACTGCACCAATTTTCCCACAAGGGAACTGAATGAATATATGTAAAAAGGTCTCTATCAACCTCTGTAGACACATATAAAACAGAATTCTCTCTAAAATTATCTAGGAGGGATTACTACTCAAAATATTGCCATGTTTATCTTCATGTAAAACTTACATTTACTCTCAAATATTTGTGTAAAAGTGATACTCCAGGACGATGCACTCTATTTATTCTGTGCCTTCACCAAGTCCCAGCATAGGACCCATTGAAAAATGTCACCATGTGCAACTGAGAACACCTGCAAGCTCTTCAGTGGGAAACGATGTGATGAAACAGGGTTAGGATGGGCTTTTCCCAGCTGAGACAGGCGGGAGTGGAACAGTCACTTCCTGGGGCACTGTCGCAGCGACCCCCGCAGAGGGCGATACGATTTTGTCTCTGGATTTGTGTCCTTGGTCTACTACATAGTGTCAAAGTTAGACTGGGTGGGCACCAACTTAAATGGCATGGTTTGGCCTCTCTCAGAAAGCCCTTGACCCCTCACCCTTCATCCTCAACCCCAACTCTCGCACCTGATCACTGATTCTTGAAATACCAACAGCATATTTTATTATTGTATCTTAAGAACTTTATCCCTATTAAGATTTCAACTACCACACACTTTTATATGCTTTGTCAGTCAGAGATGCACACTGAGGTTTTCATGGGTGAAAAGAGGTCTTGCCCTTGCCTTAGCATCCTCTACCAAAGCAGGAAGGAGTGTGTGGAGCAAGATTGGCAACCTGTGGGTAATTGCTGCAAAATGGTGATAGGTACATTAAAGTTCATTACAGTATTCTCTCAGCTTTGTGGATATATAAAAATTTCCATGAGAAAATGTAAGATGAAAAGCCTCAGAGACACTCTAGTTTTGATCGTGATGTCCTTGTTACTTGGGCATTTTTACTATGAATAAACTATGCATCAATCATGATGGAAGGAATGGATTTGAAACTAAAATAACATGTGAGGAAATCTTATCTAGAAACACAGGCAGTTATTTTGTAATTCTTACTACTGTATATAAAATTTATTTACAATATACCAAATATAAAATCTCACAAAGAAAATTATTCACAAATGAAAAAGCATGCCATCATTTTTATCCCCCCACTCCCAGGGACAAAGGAGCACTCTTAGCTGCTGTCAACAATTTACCTGTCAGTGTCAATGAATTTCATCTTTTCCTCAGAGTCAATGATGATTATGGGAGATCTGACATGCACCAAGCCCTGATGGAAGAAGATGCCCCAGACTCATAAAACGTTGAATGATTCAAGACTTATTTTTAAAAAATGTTCATGGATTCTTATCGTCTATGGAAAAATAATTCAAACTTACCTAGAATTCGCCAATCATCCAAGAAGTTAAAATTAAAATATGATAAGGAGCAATTTGTTTTTGAAATTATCACACTGACAAATTTTTTAAAAACTTGTAATGCTGAGCACTATTGAGAATTTTGGGAAATAGATAACTCACTGGTAGTATAACCATTCTAGAAGAAAATTTGAAAATATGTACCATATCCACAAATTATTTGTATTTCTCTGATCCAATAATTCCTTTTTTAAGTGTTTGTTTTAAGAAGACAATAAAAACTGATTTTTAAAAATACACATTTAAGGATGTTCATCACAGTATTATCATAATATTGATAAACTAGAAACAATGTAAATGCACAACTATGAGACATTGGCTACACAAAATATGGTAGCTCCATGTGAAGAAATGCTAGTTAGTAATAAGTACATCCTAAAAGGATGTTTAATTATATGGGATTTTATTTTGCCATGTAGTGTTGTTGTTTTAAAGAGAGAATTACAAAAGCTTTTGTTAAACTATGTTATAAAGGCGAAGGAAAAAAATAGAAATGAATGACCACAGTGTTAGCAATGTTAACAGGGTTCTCTCTGATAGATGCGATTGAGTGAATATATACATTTTTTTCTTTCAATTTTTTGTATTTCTCATATTTTATAAATGGTCATAAAAATTTAATCCAAAGAAGTATTATAATGAGACCAAAAAAGAGAAAAGAGAAAAGCTAAAATCTTCTGTGTTGCTCAACACCAGCACTGTCAAGGGCTAACAATGAGCCCGGGTGTGCAAGGGGAAAAGTTCAGAGAAGGAGGAAGCTCAATGTCAGAGAAGGACATCGAGGGAAGTGGGGAGAGGAGAGAAGAAGAGGAGCCATGCCCGTGGTGGGAAGGGGGAATGTTTCTCCCCTGAACAGAGGAGAGAAGGAGACAGCAGGACCGCTGCAGAGCTGCTCGATCCCTCCCCGCCTGATATCAGCTGTCCCTCACAGTCCCCGGTGGCACTTCAATGGTGAAGTCCGGTCAGCAATCGTGGGTCCTTTCTCCTCCATGTCCCTGCTCCATGTGCACAGCGAGCTGCCTGTCATTATCATTCTGTGATCATTCTTATTCCTTCTTTACTCCAGACCCAAATTTCTCTCTGGCTCTCCTATTTCTGTCTATTATCCCCTCACCCAGCTAGACTTCACTTCTCCTGTCCTCCAGGTGTATTGCCACCGAGGCACATTAATTCCTCCTTTGAAATTGGTGCAAATTATTCCTCCTACCCGACTTATTGCTGTGGGCTTCCAAGTGGGTTCCTGCCTGCAGATTCCGCTCCCTTTTAATCCAGACTGTGCACCATAGTACATATGTCAACTTCCTAGAAGACATTTTCCCCCTGCAATTCAAAATGTTTTCAAAAATTTCCACAGGAGAGAATTCACATTTAGATGGGTTTTCAGGGGCTTCCACACAAACTGGCTGCTACCTTTCTTGCCGGGCTCATCTGGCATTTAGAAGCAGGAGCAGTAAACACCCGTTGTAGTTTGAACGCATTATAGCAGCAGTAGTAATTATCATCATTGTAGCAAATATTTATTGAATGAACATTTATATTTTATGTCATAACAAACATTTATTCACTATGTGGCAAGTAAACATTTTATAAGCATTACTCTGTTTAAATCTCTTATATTATTCTCATGCTTATAAAGCATAGTAAGTACTATGAATTATCCCAACTCTACTGATAAGTAAAGTGAAGCTAAAAAGGTTAAATTATTTGCCACAGATCACATGGAGAATGACAAGCAGAGCTGGGATCCGGAACCAGGTCTGATCGAGCCTGCAGTGTGCGCTCCTGACACCCACTGCCTTCTTACTTGCTCCGCTCTGAGAATCTTTGGCTTCAGTCAAACTTATCTCTTCCTCGGTTCTTCAGGTCTCAGTGCCTTTCCTCTGATCAGCGCCTGGGTTACCTTTCTGTCCTGTTCACCTATCTGAATTCTACCCTCCTAGAAGCTTCAAGAGTAATTGACTCTTCCACAACATTGCCATGTACTGGTATTTTTCCATGAGGATGGCCCTATCTCCTCATGTGCATTGTAATTTTAATTCAAGTCCAATACTTTGTATAGTACACAGTGCCTAGTGTACACAGAGCCTTTCTCATAGATGGTTCCCAAAAGAATGCTTGATTGCTTGGTGGTGGGACGTGCCAGACAACTGTAGAGTTGAGAAGAGAGAGGGTAGGGACTGGATGAAGGAGAGCTTAAGGGATCTTGCAGGGAATCCCAAGGATCCTGATTCCCAGCATTGCCAGATTCATGAACCCAGAAGCATCATCTTAGCAAGGCCTGCATTCTTTCTACAAACTCATAAGAATCTTTGGAAATGTGCCCTCCACCTACATGCTTAGAGAACAGATTTACAGGGATTTAAGACAGGAAAAAAATAAAGAGACATAGGGA